ATATATATATATATATATATATATATATATATATATATATATATATATTACATATGTATGTAGGTATATATGCAGATATAGATAGGTATATTGATAATAATAATAATATTTTTGTCCAGATGTAGATCCAATATCATCCCTCTCTCTCCATTTATATATCTCTATATATATTTATATATATAGAGATATATAAATGGAATAAATATAGATATATATAGATAGATAGATAGATCGATCTGATAAAGGGCTTAGATTGGCCTGAAAAAACAAATATTATGAGAAGGAACACATTATATATTTATTAAGAAATACATTAAAAATACAGAAACGAAGCATAAACATCAGGTAAGCTTTAGAAAAACAGAATCTGAAAAGATTATTTTCTGCATACCAGAGTTTTCCGTTAGCATCTGAACCTGGAAGAACCTGCTGTTTTGCCTTATTTTAGTTTGTTTGTGTTTCCTAAAAGAAAATACTGTTATTTATTCTGTCGCTGTTAACTTTAAGCCATGTTCAGGTTGTGCTCCACTGTTTCTGATTTTGTAGCTTTTCCATCTAAAGTAGAGAAACCATCCCTCCATACGAACACGCTGTGTCTTTATGAGTTCTCCGATGTGATGAGAAGTTTTGGTAAAATGTCTGACTCGAGCACGGTGCACATGTAGCTTTCACATGAGAAGGGATGAGTAACTGAGGATGATAGGAGGGTCTGTCTTCATGCTGCAGGGACGCCCTCCCCACGCCTCGCCGAGCTGCCAATCATCCGTCCCTCCTCGCATCTTTCTGACTGATAGTGATGTGTCCTCACGCTGCTCGTGGATAAATGATCACTAATCAGCCCCCGAAGATGAAGGACAACTCTGTAAGTAAAAGAAAGACCTTTTTTATGGTTTATAAGATTTGTTTTTACATGTCAGAACCTGATTGTTTGGCAGGAAGGCTGTTTTTTCCTGTTGTGGTTAGGCTGCGTGAAGGCGAGGCAAACATTTGTCATGCTGACAAAACACAAACAAAAACTCTGCGACTGCGGCTCTCTAAGCCTCCCAGCTTCTTTATTGTTCACTAGATCTTTAATCCAGCAACAATAAAGATATTTACCTTTAAACTGATTCATTTTAAAACACACAGACTAACTATTTGCATCATATCAGGTGAAGTGGCTGAACGAAGAGCTAGTATCTTCTCCATGTCGTTAACAAAACTAGTTTGCTCCAAACTAATGCAGACTTGGCTCTGTTTGGGTTTCCATTTATAACTAACTGTTGCAAAGGAAATAAAGCTTCCTTGTCTGACTTCCTTTGCAGGTGCTAGCAGCGCCTCTATTAGAGTTAATTTTTAAACATCATTCATCCCCCAGCTTTCTCTGCTGTCGGTGGAGATGTTTGAACACGTCTCGTATTTACTCTCTGGATTGACGTCTGTGGAGCATCAGCAAATGGCCTCAACCTTTCATTAAACCCTTTCTGCTAGAAGAAGCATCAACGCAGATCTTAAGGCTTTAAAAGAGAAAGTAGAACCGTTAAGTAATCTTCTATGGAGCTTTCACGTGTTCTGAGGACTCCATCAGTTCTAGGTTTAGCTTCATAGTTTTCAGCTGAAAGCCCATCCTGTGTCTGCGGTGATGCCACGCATGTCCAGGTCCTGGTTTGTGGGGCGCTGAAAGTAGAGGAGCTGTGGTAGGACCAGGTCTCAGGGAGCTCAGACCACGTGGAGCAGCTGGTGTCACCAGCTCACTGCTGGCTTCTTATTTATCATCAATTTCATCATCTAATATCTGAAAAAGAAAGACAAAATGGATCAGACAGAAACGTTGGGTTATAATCTGAAATAGGGCTGAAACAATGAATTGGACTAATTTGTTATTGAAATAATCGTCAACTAATTTAGTAATTGATTAACCGTTAACCGGAGTATTGATACTCTGCATTCATGCCTTCAGCTGACAGAGCAACAGTAATTATACCAAAATTGTAAAAAGAAAATAAATATTTTACCTTTAAGATCTTTAAGATGAAGAAAAAGTTTTCTTCTTTCAATCTGCTGTATCCTGAACTCCTCATGTGGAAAAGTTTTATTTCCACCACCTTTAATTTAGTAAAAAGTCTTCTTTAAGGAACCTATTCGATTATCCATCCATTAATTGAAAAATAATCAACAGATTAATTGATTTGAAAACTAACCATTAGTTGCAGCCCTAACCTGAAGCCATTAGCAATACATTACATGGCTGCACTGAAAACATCCAAATCTAGATGAGTAATTTTTCTTAAAATAACTACATTTGTTCTTGAATTAAGGAGATAAAAGAGACACTTTGCCATTGGAACAAGACAATTTACACTTAAAATAAGAAAAAACAATTGCGTTATCTAATTTTAGAATTAAAAATAGTCATCTCATTTACCAAATCTATTTTTTCTAGAAATAAGTGCATTTGTTCTTGAATTAAGGAGGTAATTGAGACACTTTGCCAATGAAACAAGGCAATTTACATTCAAATGAAGTAGAAATAATTGCATTGTCTCATTTTATCTAATTATCTTAAGAGAAACTCTCAGTCCATTGGCAGATCATCATATTTACCTGCTCAGATTAAGGCTAGATATACCTATTTTAAGAAATGTTGACTTATTTATAGATTGTTTTTGCAGTGTATGGATGACTTAGAAGCAAATAACTGATGTGGATTCAGTGGCTATAGAGAAATCAAGGTGATAAGGAGGCTATTTGTCCTGCAACATGTAGCCTGATGCATGGAATCCTATACTGTAGCAATCATCACATGAAAATCAAATCTAAATCTAGATAAGACATTTTTTCTTAAAATAAGTGCATTTGTTCTTGGATTGAGGAGGTAAAAGAGACATTTTGCCAACAGAACAAGACAATTTGCACTTAAAATAGGGGGGAAAATGCAGTCTGTTATTTCAAGTGTATATTATAGAATTTTCTTATTTTAAAAGTGAAAAAAAACTCATTCTATTGGAAAATAATCGTATTTATCTGCTCAAATTAAGGCTAAATACACTTAATATAAATATGTTTTTTTTAGTTAGAGTTTTTTTCATTGAGTTAAAACATAATTTAACAATCTTTATTTTCTAAATGAGCAGGAGGTTTGGTTTATGCTTGCATGAGAGTGAAGCTGTGGGGGACTAAGCTCCAAATTGTGTTGGATCATTGTTGAAACGGATCTAGTTTGCTGGATCTGGAAGTTCTACTTTATTTATATTCAGTGCAGTTCAGTATCAATGAAATGCAATCCTCTCCAGCCTGCTGCAGCTTATAAACGGGGCTGACTCCATGACATCAGGGAGTGCTTTCAAACATCTGGATCCTATAAAGAAGGACAGCTAAGGCTCGTTCCCTCTCCTCTCTTTGTTAAAACATGGGAGGAATGCAGCTTTGACTCAGCAGGTGTTTCACAGCAGACATTTTGGCTTGTCACCACAGGAAAAGCACATTTCTCTCTCATGACACCAAGACTATCTGCATTCCTTCCACTTGAGCTATCCCCAGAGTGCTGATGTGTAGTTTTGGAAAACTTGTGGAGGAGGGCCGTCTAAAGTCTACATGTTTTTCATCAATGCTGCTGCTTTTCTTCCCGTACCCTATGGAAATAAATGAGCAATAGTTAGTGTGTATTATTGTACACTGGAACAAATTAAAAATCTAGATAAGTCATTTTTTCTTAATATAAGTGCATTTGTTCTGGGATTGAGGAGGTAAAAGAGACATTTTGCCAATGGAATAAAACAATTTACACTTAAAATAAGAAAACACAATCGGAGTGTCTTATTTCAAGCGCATATTATCTAATTATCTTATTTTAAGATTAAAAATACTCCTTCCATTTTCCTACTCAAAGTAAGGGTAAATACACTTAATTTAAGATATTTTCAGTGGACTCTACTAGTGCAGAAGTGATGTGTGTTGCACACTGTGGACTATAGCAGTTTGAAATGAAATTCCCTTTTACACTGCAAAAACATTCTGGAAAAAGTATAAATGTTGCCAATGGAATGACATTCTTACTCCTAAAATAAGATATTTAGATAAAAGGCACTTTAAAGAAGACAATGTTATTGTGTTTTTTTTTTTTTTTGGGATTTTAAAGTAAATTGTCTTGTTCCATTGGCAAAATGTATATTTTACCTCCTCAATTTAAGAACAAATGGCTTCTCTAAATTTCATTTTTTTCCAGTGCATACCACACTGCAAAAATGATCTAGAAACAAGTAAAAAATGTCTAAATTTAAGTGTATTTATTCTTAATTTGAGTAGGTAAATAAGATGATCGGCCAATGGAATTTGTATATTTACAATTAAATTAAAATAATTAAATAATATGCACTTAAAATGAGACAATAAAATTGTTTTTCTCTTATTTTAAAATGTAAAATGTCTTGTTCCATTTGCAAAATATCTCCATTTCCCCCTCAATTCAAGAAAAAAGTCACTTATTTTAAGAAAAAAGGACTTAGATTTCTTTTTTTGCAGCGCTCATTGGTTTCTGTTTTAGGAGCAGAAGTAGGGAGAGTTGATCCAGACAGAGTTTCATTATTTACACATGCCCCATGTCTGAGAGTTTAAGAGCTATTCCTTGTTGCCTGGGTTTGAGCGAGGCCCCTCTGAAGTATCTGTGCTCAACTGTAAGAGCGTGTCTGCTTCCCATAATGCACCAGCCCATCTCCTGCCCGGTGCAGGCAGTGAAAGAGACCATTGTTCCTGTCACTCCGAGGCATATTGCATGCACTTATGACACAGAGTGGGAGAAATGATTCCCATTATACTTCTGGAATGTCTCTGAATTGATCCATCTGGGGAAGATTCATGCTCTTCTATGCAGACTGTGATTTAGAAGTTCATGGTTTAAAACAAGTTCTTGTCTCAATGTTTGAAAATCAGAACGCAGTGTTTTGTTCTCTGTACTATAAAGATGATTTGATGATGACATCTCTGTGTAGAGGCGGGTTCGGGAGCCATCTGATACATTGGATGTGTTTATAGTGGCGCAAACAGAGAACAGAGCAAAGTAAGAAGGAAGCAAAACCCACGATGGATACAAAGCAAACCTCCCTGGGCTAATCTGTCGACACTGAGCCTGGTTCTGCTGGAGGTTTCTTCCTGTTCAAAGGGAGTTTTTCCTCTCCACTGTCGCTACAACCATGCTTAGTCTGAGGGATTGCTGAAGAGTCAATGAGTCGATGCAATCAACTGGTTTTCCTTAGATACAAAACTTTGAATCAATCTGAATGATGATCTGGTGAACTGGAAATTGCAATGAGATGATATGTGTTGTGAATTAGTGCTATAGAAATAAACTGTATTGATTTGAATTGAATTGAACTAAATTGAATTGAACTGAATTGAATTGAATTGAATTAAAATGAATTGAATTGAATAATTGAATTGAATTGAACTGAATTGAATTGACAGCCAATCAGGGACTAGATCCTGCTGGAGCATGGGAAGAAGAGTGCAGCACAGTGATGCATTTTTTCTAACCAAATTAGAAACATTTTTGTTGACATAGGGTGAAGTAAGGAATGCTCTTTAGGGGGTTTGTGGGTGGCTTTTTAAAAAGGTTTGTTAATTCAACATAAGGACTGTTAAATCATTGATGACCGGTAGCTCCAGAGCTGTCCCAGCCAGCTGCCTCTGCCCCCCTCTGCTACTGTCTGAGCTCCTTGTTTTGCCCCTGTTGTCCCAGTGATCCGTCCCTAAAGTGGGATAACAGTTTCAGGGCCTGATCAGAAGCAGGGAGCGACAATAAAATGCAGGACCGCCATGCTGAGTTGAAAGCAGACAGAAGCTCCTCCCTCTTCATGACGCTGTGAAGCGCGGTCCACGGTCGGCTGT